ATAAAGAATCTTTTGGAGTTTGCCAGATGGAAAGAGGTGGGACGGTCATATCAGGCCGCAAAAATAAGAACACGTGAAAATATCAGTAGTTCTTCAAATTGTCTAGAGTTCAGTAAGGTCAGGACAAACCAGGTGTAGGATAGCTTCAGGCTTCCTCAGGTTGCCAGCTAGATCTGATAGAGGTATTTGATTTTATTTGTGGTAAGGAGCTTGCCAGCCTATGTGGCCTGTCTGTGGCTGCGTTTTATTTGGTAAAACACTGTGTCAAAAGTTCGAATTAGCTTAACAGAAACTTTCACATAATGAAGTCAAGTTTCCCAGTGTCTATCAGAAAATCAAGTTTTTGGCACCGAGCTCACCAACTCCATGGCAACAATTAGCTGGAGCCACTTGAGAAGGAGCCTGGAGATCCCAGTTTGCTGGAGACCGTACCTTTCCTGGGCACTTACACCTACCTGGCCAGACACATTTAGTTGTGATATTTGCCTGAGCTCTGTAGACAGCTGAATGTGACCTCTGTTTTAATACACCTGGGGGCCCCAGTTACAGGAGTAGGCCAGGATTCTGGTGCAGAATGCTGGAGAAATCTGCAGAAATCTGGTGCAGATCCCCTTTCTGGAGGTGATAATGAAGGGGAAGCAGGAAGGGGGAGCAGAAGTTGACTCAGCTGCTGAAGTTGGTTGTGTATGGTGCTACCCAGAGGGGGATGGGTCACAGCACAGAAAGAGAAATGAGGCACAGTCCCTTCCTGTGGCTGGGGCCTGCAGGAGGAACAGAGTGATGCATGAAGATGCTGGGACCCATTCCTTGGACATTCATCCTGACCTGTGGGGGTAAGAGTCATAGGTCCACCCCTAACTGTCCTGGGAGCCAGGGCAAGAGTTCAAATGGAGATCCAGAGCCTACAGCCTGCTCTCTTTCTCTTCCTATCCTTACTCTGTCCCACAGAATACAGTACACATGTGTGCACACAACGCAGGCCACAAGTCCAAGTTCTGTCCACAGCTTCCTTAAGTGCTGGCAAACAGCTGCCCCTTGGTCAACCCTTGGACCTGGGGATATGTGTGCTGGTACTTGGCCCACTCTCAGGAAGATAGACTCAAGAACCAGGCCTGACCAGGCTCTTAAATCACTCCTAGAGCTGTTTGGGCAGGAAATTTTGGGGTCTAGGTAGCCCAAATGTGGGTTAGAAGCTAGGTGTGGACTCTGGATGGGCACATTCCCTTGGGCTGGTAGAGTCCTCATCCCCTACGGAGGGGCATGGTCAGAAGAGACCCAGAGTCCTGGAGCCTTATAAACTTGAGGGTGAGGGCTGAAATACTGTCAGCAACAGGGACACACTTGGGTTACTATGGGTAATGGGGTCTGTATTAGTTTGCTCGGCCTACTGTAACAGAGTACCACCAATGGGTGGCTGCAAACCACAGACACTTACTCTCTCCCAGTTCTGGAGGCTAGAAGTCCAAAATTAAGGTGTTGGCAGGATTAATTCTTTCTGAGGGTTCTGAGGGAAAATCTATTCCCTGCCTCTCTCCTGGCTTCTGGTGACATCTGGCAGTCGTGGGCTTGCAGATACATCACTCTTATCTCGGCCTCCATTTTCCCTGGCATTCTCTCTGTTTCTCTGTGTCTGCATACAGCCATTTTCTTATAAGCATACCAGTCATGTTACATTAGAGGCTCCCCTACTCCAAAATGACCTCATTTTAACTAAGTATACCTGCAACAACCCTATTTGCAAATAAGGCCATATTCTGAATTACTGGGAGTGAAAACTTACATGTGTCCTTATTGGGGGGCACAACTCACAAGAGAGTCTATCATCAAGTCACAGGCACCGACAAGGGAAGTAGGACTCACAAATTTGCAGAAACTACCTTGCAGCCAGGCCTCCTACAGCTTGGGAACAAGACGGATGTTTCCCCAGGACAGCTTGGTTCTCACTGACTTTTTTTTTTTTTGAGATGGGGGTCTCACTCAACCTCCACCTCCCAGACTCAAGTGATCCTCCCATCTCAGCCTCCTGAGTAGCTGGGAGCACAGGTGCATGCTACCACACCCGGCTAATGTTTTGTATTTTTGGTAGAGACAGGGTTTCACCATGTTGCCCAGGCTGGCTTATTAACTCTTGCTAACAGATTTACTGATCATCTAATAGCACAGTGCCCCTGTCCCTACTCATCAGCTTCACGCACTCCTGCTGCTTTCCCAACCACCTGCCTTCACTCTGTGTATCTCTCTCTCGACCTGATGGCTTCAGCTGAATCTGGCCCTGTGGCCCCTATAGCTGCTCTTTCATTGTTTTTCATCTTTTGCTCCCACTACTGGTTGCCCCTAACCTCCCGTTCAAATTGCTGAGAGACGGTCTGGTCCAGCAAATTGCTGTGGTCTCTGTTGGCATAGCTTTCTCACCAGTTTGCCTCAGGGGAAAATGGATAATCTGCATATTGGCTGCCCTAGGGATAGGTGCCTGCCCACTCAGGTCCAAGTAGCTGTGTCTGTGGTATCCATGGCCATTTATCTCGGGGAAGCAGCCTAGATGGTTTATTAGCAGGTGGCTAAGGACAGGCAGTTGCCCATTGCTCTTTCTAAGACAAGGTTTCCCAACCTTGGCATTACTGACATTTCGGGCTGAGTAAATCTTTGTTGTGGGGTTCTGCAAATAGGGTTGTTGCAGGTATAATTAGTTAAAATGAGGTCATTTTGGAGTAGGGGAGCCTCTAATGTAGGGGTTCACCTGTCCATTCTAAACTACCTAGCAGCATCCCTGACCACCACCTAACAGATGCCAGAAGCACCCTTCCCCCTTCCAGCAGAATTGTGACAATCAAAAATGTCTCTAGACTTTGCCAAATATTCCCTAGAGGAAAATCACCCTAGGTTGAGAATCACTTGTTCTAAGGGTCTGGGAGGTACCAGAATTAGCCCATCCATGTGGGTGTAGTAGGTAGTCAGGACTGTGAGTGTGAAGGCCATTGATTATATATCTGTGTCTGTCAGGGCTGGCTCAGAGACTGAGAGAAGCAGCTCTTGCTAAGGGCAGGGGTCAGATAGAGCACTGGTTTCTAGATGAATGGCTGTGCTCATTCAAAATGAGGAAATCAAGACAGAGTAGTGTGTGTGTGTGTGTGTGTGTGTGCTGCAGCTGCATGGATTTGAGTGAGCGTGTTCATTGGTTTACTCTTTGTGTATGTATACATTTTTGAGAATGTGCAATTCTCGGTGTGGGTGAAGATATCTGGGTTGAAGGCATATATATATGTGTATATCTTAAGGTTGAACAGTCCATGCTGCCCCTCCTGTGTTATCAGAATAGATTAGTGTCATAAATGACATACCTCATTGGCATTCTGGGAAAGTTATACAGGGTAAGAATCAGTCTACTGATATTGAAATGGAAAACAACCTCTGCTTTCGGGTGTGTGTGTGTGTGTGTGTGTTGTTGTTGTATGGCCCTGTCTGCCTCTAAGCATATGTAACTAAGGTTGGGAAACACTTCAGTACAGAGTTTGCATGAGGAAGCTAAGATTGGAAATGTAGGGTAACATTGTGAAGAAGAATCTCAAATGCCCAGCTACTTAACCTGATCTCTGGGAGACAATGGAGTGCCACTGGTGGCTTTTGAGCTGCACGTGATTTATTGTGATGTTTGGGGAAGATCAAAGCACAGAAGAAATCTCTGCGATTCTAGAAGCAAGGAGACCACTAGCTAGACTGAGACTAGTTCACGACTCAGAATGACCAGTGCAGAGACCTGTGCACTGTGCCTTAGGTGTGTCCACGTGTCACCAAAGCCTCTCTGCTTCACTCAAATGTGTGGTTCCCCTCGCAAAACCTCCTTCCCGCCACCAGGCAGCCTGGTGCGGTGGCCCCCCAGAAAAAACTGTCGTGACACCCGGATGCAGTGTAGGCCGAAGCCTTGCGCCGGGGGGAGGGCGGCAGGCTTGGCTCTCTGATTGGGTGGATTCTCTGGAGTGTAGGAAAGTACTCCCAGCCCCAGAGAAGCCAGAGTCGATGGACGTGCAGCTCCCTGGGCCAAGAACCGCGGGGGAGGTGGCAGCCTGAGTGGTCCTCTCCGACCCCCAACTCTGCCAATCATCTCTGCCCTTCCAGGAGGTGGAAGGACGAGGCAAGACCCTCATTTGGTTGCCTGCCCGTCCAGGCCTGCGCGCGCTTAATCGCCACCGACACGACGGTGAGCGTCGAGCAGCCCGCGGCCTCGCTGCCCCCTGCAGTCCCGGACGCCCAGCCCCCCGAGAGTGGAGGGGCGAGCGCACAGTGAGTACTCGGTATTCGCCCGACTCTTGAACCCCTCCTTCGTGGGAGCTAGGGGGCTGGCTCTCCGTAATTCCTTTGTTGGAGGGAGGAACGACGGAAGGAGAAAGGCTCGCCGAGGCCGCTGGCCGATTACTTTCTTTACTTCCCTGCCCAGCCGTGGCCCCCCGAGGAAGGCCCGATTCTCGGTTGCCCGAGGACTGTGGGAGGTGGGTGTGTGCGCAGCCCCTGATGGTGAAGGGCTCGAAGTACTCGTTTTTCAAAGGCGGCCGAGAGCCACACCATTGGAGTCCTCGCTTGCAAAATGGGAGACACCGAAACGCCCCCTTCTGAGCGCTATGACAAACACCCCCTCCCACTCAGCAGCGACGTACACGTGACAGTTTTGGGCTCTCGCAACTACGTGGAAACTTGGAATACGTCTGCGGTTGCACCGCGCCCGGGCGCCGGGGTCCCCCCCACCGCTTTGGTCGCCGCGGGGTAGCCGAGCCGCAGGGAGCCGGGGGCCCCCGAGCGCCGCCGCCCTGCCCCGAGCTCCGGGAGCTTTCGGGCTTCCGCATTGCCCGCCGCGCCCTGCCTACAGGGAAGCGCTTCCCGCGGCGGCGGCGGCGGTCTGGTTGCGGACCCCCCGGCCGCAGCCATGTGGGACCCGCGCGCAGCTAGGTGCGTAGCGGGGCGGGAAGCGCGGAGGCACCTCCGGCCTTCCGGGCCCGGCGGGGTGGGGGGCGGCCGCGCGCAGGGACTGGCGACCCTCAGGTAGCGGCCGCACGGGCCCGCCGGGCCATCCCCGTGGGGCCCACATCCATCTCGGTGCAGAGCCGAGCCGGTCGCGCGGGGTCGGGCGCGGGGGACGGTTCCGGCTTTTCCGATCAGGAGGAACCAGGGCACGCGCTGTGACCGGACTGCGGCGGCGCGCGGCCTGCCTACTTCCCACCCCGGCATCGAACCCGCCGCTCGCGGGCCCAGCGCCACGTCCTCGGGGGTTCCGGAGGCTGCCGGCACGTTCCTGACCAGCGAACGCGCCCCCGGGGCACGCACTTGGGTTGGGCGGGCGCCCAGGAGCGGAGCACAGCGGTGCCCAGGAACGATGCCAGGCGGGAAGGGCGGAATTTGCGGCGAATTTGGAGCGCGCTGGCCTCTTCCCGGCGGTAGGAGGCTTTCTTCCCTGCCTGCCGGATTGTGGGCTGCCGGACGGGCTCAAATTGGGCTGCACGGTCCACCAGCCTCAGCTCACCGAGTCTAGGGGCAAGGTGGTAACAGGGACCCGAGGCTGGGAGGCCGAGTATTTAGAAGCCCTTGTTTCTGCCTCGGGCCGTTTCCGAACTGGTGCTCGGAGTCTGTTGCCTGGGAGGCGCGCTGCGCTTCCCCCCAGCTCCCTGTGTCGGTCCTGCCGGGAGCCCTGTGCACTTGCAGCCCGGCTGAGATAGAGCCCATGCTCGTCGTGCAGCGCGGGCCACCTTTTCTCCCTGATGGGGGTGTTTCTGGGCGGTTGAAAGCTTTGGTGCTTCCCGGGGAAATTTTTATGGAAGTGTGCTATTTGGAAAATAAAAGAAAAAAAAATTAAGAAGCAGAAGGAGAATGGGACTCGGAGGTCTCTAGTCCCCCGACCTGCTCCAGCCCAGTTGCTGCTGGCTCAGTTAGTCCTTATGCAGGAAGGAAGAGCTGGGAGCAAAGGCCTTGTGTCCCCAGCATAGGTCTGCTCTCATGCTCCCTCGTGCTGAGCGTTTTGGGTGCCAGGATCCTTTTTGATACAAGGCTGTTACCCGGATGGCATCCGGTTTGGTCCTTTATAGAAAAAAAAAAAAAAAAAGTACTACCTTCTATGTGTTGGGGGCGGGGGCGGTGGTCAGGAGTTTGTTTCAGCTGTTTTCCCGGCAGGTCTGTTTTGTAGAATTGCAGGATGGGTGATTGAGTTCCTGTGCTCTTTGTTGGCTTTTGCATCCTCTGCGGGGAGTGGGGGCGGAGGTTGGGTAGGTGTGTGTGGCATCCCAGAGTCCCATTGCCACTGGCCTATGTATGGATTTCTGTCTTTTATCGACCAAGACCCACACCCACCTATGTGTATATAACGTATATATGCATATGTGTGTAACATTTTATATACACACACACATACACACAGAGACACAAGTGTAAAATTGTGGCAAGAGCTTCATGGTATAGTTATTCTTTCTACAGGGTGAGGCACGATATTTTTCATTCTTTCTCCCTCCCCCCAGGGATTCTCGCTCTGTCATTCACGCTGGAGCGCCACTGCAGCCTCCCCCTCCCGGGTTCAAGAGATTCTCCTGCAGCAACCTCCTGAGTAGCTGGGATTACAAGGGGGCGCCACCACCCGGCTAATTTTTGTATCTTTAGTGGAGACGTGATTTTGCCATGTTGGCCAGGCTGGTCTCAAAGTCCTGACCTACCTGCCTTGGCCTCCCAGAGTGCTGGGATTAAAGACGGGGAGCCAGGGGGACTGGCCCATTCTGTTTTTTTTTTTTTTTTTTTAAAGCAGGTCGTAAATTGTTAACCTCACTTTATGACCGACTGACCAGCTTTACCGGGCAACCGCAGGTTCTGTTTGGGCTACTCTCAAAGAGAATGAGGAGACTGTCAGTATTTCACTGGGGAATTAACTTTGGAAGTGAGGACTTGGTGTAGGAGAGATGAAGGAGACTGAAATCCATACTTGAGTAATTAGAATATTGTAGGACATGGCCATGTGGTTCAGGCCAGTGGCATCTATCTACAAAGACATGCTTCTGGTTACTTTGTTTCTGGCTCCGCGTCCACAGAGCTGGCTTCTGCATAGATCTCATCGGACCTTGCTGGGGAGGCAGGGGCGTAATGGCTCCGTTCTTTGTTTTCATTTGTGTGTTTTTTTGGAGGAAGAAGGAAGGAAGATGCTGCCACACTACCGAAAACATGGATTCATAGTTTTCTAAAACGATTCTTTGGGTCTTGCCTCAGAACTTTACAGCTGCAGTCCACAGCTGGACTATGATCATTTTATAGATGAAGAAATCGAGGCCCAGAGCGGCCATTGCTTGTTAGTCATTACCAAGAAGTTAGTGTTAGATCTGGGATTAGACACCTTATCCTTGACTTCCCAGCCCATGGCTCTCAGGAACCAAATAGAGACGGCCCTTGCAGAATCATTAAACTGACCTTTGCCGGTTGGTTCTGTTTTCCTGGAGTTACTACCAAAGACCCATTTCTATGGCATATGCCTCATTATTTTATCTTTGCTTTTGGGGATGAAGATTATTTTAGCAGCCATAGTAGAGCCTGTAGCCCCCCTGTTTGGGGGCGGTAAAGTGATCTGAAGAGGAGGGTTTTAAGAACTGAAGTGGAGGTTGGGTGTGGGCCTCTCTGGCCATTATCAAGTGTGTGGTGTTGGTTTCTTGACCTTGAGGAATGAACCCTCCTCTGCCTTTCCAGATGGGGAGGTGGAGCTGACGCATCAGTGCCTTGCCCTCAGAGTGACTGCAGGCTCATTGCTTTTGAAACAAATTTCCTTGGAGTGCAGCCTCAGGTTCCCAAGGCCAAAAGCACCCTGGTGAGAAATCTTTACAAGAAAGAAAGATTTAGGGCAGCGAAGATGACACTGTAACAGTTACAGCAAAGATTGATAGTGGGGCCCATTACAGTGATGGGGAGAATGGTTAAGTTTAAACTTTAAAAAAGAAAGTATTGAACCAGATAAACAGGCAACTTTGGAACAGAAAAATGCCACGGTGCCCAGCCAGGAGTGGTTACTTCTGTGGTCACTCCTTTGGTTAGCGAGGTTCATTCTGCCTGAGCAGACATTTTTCTTGGTCTAAAATTGCAGAAGTATTGCCTTGTTTGTTTTTGTTGAAAATCTGAAAGTGTGAATGACCGTTGCCTAAGATACCCTGGCCTCGGTTTACAGGAATCAATTCCATCTTTTGCTTAGGTGATGAACCTCAGTGTCAGTGTCCGCCCTGCGCTCACCGTGGCATGCTTACCTGAGCTCCCATGAGCCCGCTGGGCTGGTGGGATCCCTTGCGTGTCTTTTGGAGCCAGGCCAACTCTGGGTTGAGTTATCTCTGCCTTTGAAGTTCCGGCAACGTTTAGATTGGGATGTTTTTTATTTTTGAAGCACTGGGTCCTCGTAGCACTTGGAAAGAGGGCAGTATTCCCAGTCCTAAAAATCAGTGATGGTATTTTGGAGGAAATCAGGCCAGTAGTGGACAACTCAGAAAATACCGAGAATTGTAGCACTATATTTGGTGACCTTGACTCACTGGGACAAGATGCTCAGACAGCAGCCTTGACCTGGGATGGCTCATCCTTCATGTTCAGCTGTGGCCACCAGGGCAACCTTTTTTTGCTTACCCTTAGACTAGTTTATCCTCTGCCCAAGAAGGTCCACTCTACCTGGAGGCTCAATCGTTGATAACTTCTAGGTACTCATTGGCCAGGTATTAAGGCCATCGATAATCTGGCCCCCAGACTGTTTCTCTAACATGCTTTCTTCTTATCACTTCTCACCTCTTTTTTTTTTTTTTGGAGACAGAGTTTCGCTCTTGTTACCCAGGCTGGAGTGCAATGGCGCGATCTCGGCTCACTGCAACCTCCGCCTCCTGGGTTCAGGCAATTCTCCTGCCTCAGCCTCCTGAGTAGCTGGGATTACAGGCACGCGCCACCATGCCCAGCTAATTTTTTGTGTTTTTAGTAGAGACGGGGTTTCACCATGTTGACCAGAATGGTCTCGATCTTTTGACCTCATGATCCACCCGCCTCGGCCTCCCAAAGTGCTGGGATTACAGGCTTGAGCCACCACGCCCGGCCCCACTTCTCACATCTTTTTACTTTTCGATTTTCAAGTCAATTCTGCTCCTCAGATATATACGAGGGTCTGCATTGGGTTATGGAGGATGTATATATGTAAGACATAGGCTCTGCCAATGATGATAGAACAGAGTTGATGTCACGTAGACCTGTGGGAAAGGATTAGTGGAGGTGCAGGCAAGCACTCTAAGAGACTTCCCAGCTCCTGAATCCTTCCCAGGAAGAAGTATGGAAGGTCAGTTTTGAGCTGTACCTAAACAGGTGAAGAGCACTTCTAACAGGCAGATAAGGGTTGCCAGGAGGGAGAGAGGGACATTCAGGTAAAAGGAGCAGCTTCTTATTAAGAATAATGATGGGGAGGCCGGGCGCAGTGGCTCATGCCTATAATCCCAGCACTTTGGGAGGCTGAGGGGGGTGGATCACGAGGTCAAGAGATCAAGACCATTCTGGTCAACATGGTGAAACCCCGTCTCTACTAAAAATACAAAAATTAGCTGGGCATGGTGGTGCACGCCTGTAATCCCAGCTACTCGGGAGGCTGAGCAGGAGAATTGCTTGAACTCGGGAGGCAGAGGTTGCGGTGAGCCGAGATCGTGCCATTGCACTCCAGCCTGGGTAACAAGAGCGAAACTCCGTCTTGAAAAAAAAAAAAAAAAGAATAATGATGGGTTAGGCACAGTGGCTCATGCTTGTAACCCCAGCACTTTGGGAGGCTGAGGCCGGTGGGTCATCTGAGGTCTGTAGTTCGAGACCAGCCTGGCCAACATGGTGAAACCTCTTCTCCACTAAAAAATACAAAAATTAGCCAGGCATGCTGGTGCACATCTGTAGTACCAGCTACTCAGGAGGCGGAGGAAGGAAAATTGCTTGAACCTGGGAGGTAGAGGTTACAGTAGGCCAAGATCACACTACTGCACTCCAGCCTGGGCTACAGAGCGAGACTCCATCTCAAAAAAACCCCTAAACATCACCATAATGATAATGGTAATGATAATAGTTTAACCCTATGCCAGGCTCTACGTTGAATGTGTTTCATATATTATCGTATTTAATTCTCACATAAACATTTTGAACAATTCTCATTTTATAGATGTACCTGCACCAGAATGTGAGCTTCGTGAAAGGGGAGTAGTGTTTTTTTGTTAGTGTTGCTCTTTCACATGTCCCAAGCGTCTAGCAGAGTACCTGGTACACAGTAGGCACCAATCAGTATTTGTGGACTGTCTGAGGAAACAAGAAGGCCAGTCATGTATGTGACATTGTCCCTGTTTTCCAGTAAGGAAACTGAGAGCCTAGAAATTAAGTGAATTTACCACCTGACACCAGGCCTGGAAGAAAGAAAAGTGGG